ATGGGAGGGGGCTGCGTGCGTGGACACTGGCCAGCTGACTCGGTTTACCCGGGCCGTGGTGTGACCGCCGAGGTTTGAACGGGTGCCCACCTCCTCAGGGAGCAGATGGAGGCTCTTCACAGCTAACTCCTACCTGGGCGGTTGGCGGGCTCCCTCCCCGTCTACGAACTGCCGCGGGAGCCCAGGGCCATGGGGGTGGGGGGGGCGATGCAAAGGGAAGAAGATTTTTGTTGGAAAAAAGCCCACGTGAGGTGGGGAGTAAGGGGACCTGGTGGCTTAGTGGCTGCGCCGTGGGCTGCAAACAGCAGGGTCTGCAGGTTTCAACCGCCCTGTCGTGTCGCTATGAGTCGGAATCGACTCGATCGCAATGAATTTGTTACCTTTAAAAAAATTTTTTTAAGGTTGGGGTTTGTACCGTCTTCAGAAAGCACCACTTTGTTGATAGGACTATGCAGAAATGATCAGGCTATATAGTCTTAAATGCATAAATCTTTCCAACTTAAGGTCGTCCTTTAAAAATACGAATTAAGCGTTTTTTTGGAGCACTTTCTTAACTTGTTTTCGGCACTTATGCGTGGATTTGAGTTACGTTTAATTGGTTCCTAGGCTGAAGTTTTAACTTTGCTCTTGTTTTTCATGCAGTAATGTAGGTGACAATATGCTAGCTTTCGTTGCTTAGTTTTGGCGTTTATGTTTGCTAAAAATAAAGGCTGAGTTTTTGGAATAAGGTGAAAATGAGGAAGCCACGTTCATTTCATCTCAAACAAACAACATTGGGGGGTGGGGGAAGGACTAGGAATTTACAAGCAAATGTTAACACCTGTAACTAATTTTCCGGCATTTTCCCGTTGGCAGAACTTTTTAAGTCTTGATTTATTTTTAAAATCTAATGTTATATTCCTTGTACATTATCAATAGCCATATGCAAGGCTAGGAGTCAATTGGAAAAAATATTAATTCAAGTTATTGAGTATATTAGGTTCTTGTTATTTTTATGGATACAGAAGTAAGCATTTGTGGACAAGTTTTTATCCTACTGGGGAGACCACGAAATAAACAAATTGAAAGAAAAAGATAGAAGATGGTAATTCCTATACTGAGATAAAAATGGGATGATAGGTTGTCCTTTAAAAATACTAATGCAGGCATTTTCTTGGAGCACAATCTTAGCTTGGTTTTGGCATTTATCTGATTCTGAGTCTGAAAAAATCTTTATTTAATTGCAGGCTGTTTTACTTCAGATAAAGAACATGGTGAAACTAATTCACACATTCGCCGATCATGGTGATGATGTCAATTGTTGTGCCTTCTCTTCTTCCCTCCTGGCTACTTGCTCCTTGGACAAAACAGTCCGCCTGTACTCCTTAAGCGACTTCATGGAGCTGCCTTACTCCCCGTTGAAGTTCCACACATATGCTGTCCACTGCTGCTGCTTCTCCCCTTCAGGACATATCTTGGCTTCATGTTCAACAGATGGTACCACTGTCCTATGGGATACGCACAACGGACAGACTTTGGCTGTGATGGAACAGCCCAGTGGTAGCCCCGTGAGAGTGTGCCGCTTTTCCCCAGACTCCACTTGTTTGGCATCAGGAGCAGCTGATGGAACGGTTGTTTTGTGGAATGCACAGTCTTATAAGTTATACAGGTACGAAGATGTAAACTTTGATTTTCATCTAACTAACAGTGTTCTGAAACACAGGAAAAATAATAGTTTGATAAATGTAGCAAATAGGCAATTGCCATCCATCACAAGAAAGAATTTACTTGTAGTCTAATGATCAAAAAACAGGTGTTTAATATAATGCTTGCAAGAATACTTGGTTCTGAAAGTTTTATTTATTTTTTTTTACAGTAGGAGTTAATCTTGTTTGTCTTCGGAGTTTTTGGTGCATGAAACAAAGAAAATGTAGTCTTATGACAGGTTTAGTAATTCTAGATCTTATATATGCCATCTATGATTCGTCTTCTTAGTAATAAAATAGCAATAGGTATGTCAAACCTAACATTTTCCTGACCTGGATACTATTTTTAAGTTTTTAAAAAATAGGCGTAATACATTTGCCAACTCGGTATTTTGCATGTGTACACTTTAGTGACAACAATTACTTAATTATGTGGTGCAGTTATCACCCACATTCATTGCCACATTTCCCATTGTTGTAAACAAACTCAGTGTTTCCTAAACAATTGCTGCTCCTCTCCCCAACTTCTCAGCCATGGTAACCACTAATAAGCTTTGGTCTCTATGCTTTTGTCTCTTCTAGGTATTTATAAACTCGTGAGATCATACAATATTTTTTCTTTGTGATTGACTTCCCTTGACATGTTTACTTTTTTCCCCCTTAGCATGTTTTCACGGTTTATCTATGTTGTAGCATGTATCAGGACTTCATTTTTCTTTAAAAATTTATTTTATTTCTATTTATTTATTTTTAAGACTTCATTTTTCTATGACTGAGAATTTCGTTGTATGTATTCACAACATTTTGTTGTCTTTTCTGTTGATGGACATTTAGGTGGTCTCTACTTTGTAGTTATTGTGAATTAGTCCTGCAGTGAACACTGGTTACAGGTGTTTGTGTCAGTGTTTTCAAGTCTCGGCTATGTAACTAGGAGTGGAATTGCTAGAATGTAAGGTTCAAATTCACGAGGAACCACTAAACTGGTTTCTACAGTGACTCCATCATTTCCAACCAGCAATGGATCATGTTCTAATTTCTCTACAACCTCAACAACACTAGTTGTTTATTTTTTATCTTAGCCATCCTAGTGTGGGTTTGATTACATCTCCCTAAAGGACAATTAATTTTAGTGGTACAGTGGGTAAGCACTTGGCCTCTGCTCTGAACACACTCCTGCTGCATGGAAGAAAGATGTGGGAATCTGCTCTGAAAATCTGCATTCTTGGACACCCTATGGGACAGTTCTATTCTCTCCTAGAGGGTCACTGTGAATTGTATTCAACTAGAGTGCCCCGGGTTTTAATGGGCATTACCTGTTCGTGCGCTTGTTGGCCATTTCTATAGCTTCTGTGGTGAAATGTCTTCAAATCTTCTGCCTGTTTTTTAATTGGGTTGTCTTTTTGGCTGGTAAGTTGTAGGAGTTGCTTTGATATTGTGGATACTAAACCATTACACAATATATATCCTCCCCAAATTTTCCATCTGCAGGATGTCACTTCTGTGTTTTTTGTTCGTCTTTTGATGAGCACACTTTTTTTTTTCAATCAGTTTTATCTTTTGTTAATGCTTTTGGTGTTCTATCCCAGGCTTCATTGTTTAAAATGAGGTTAGGATACAATACCCACATGTTTTTTTCTAGTGGTTTTATAAGTTTAGTTTTTAGAGTTAAGCAGTCGATCCATTTTTAAATTCTCTTATATGAAATATGAATCCTTTGTTCTTTCGCATGTGAATATCCACTTCTGCCAGCACTGTTAAAGAAACAAATTATTCTGGCGTCATTGATTATGTAGCACCCTTGTTAAATTAATCATAAATGTGTGAGGTGATTTTTTCTCCGACTCTTCCATTCTATTCTATTGACTTGTTATATACAAATACTGTTAAGGTAGTCAGAACAGGGACCAGGGTGTCCACTGGGCATGCTCCAAACTTCAGGCTCCGAGCTGGGAGAGGCGATACACCTAGGTGGGCGTTACACCTGGATTGACCCCAATTAGGCCAGGTGGGCTTAATTCAGCCAATAGGGTCAACCAGTACTATAGACAACGCCTTCCGACGGCTTCTGAAAAGCCAGAAATTTTGAGTGGACTGGTCTCTCTCACGCTCTCTTCCCTCCACACTAGCGGCTCCTACACAGTACCCTGTGGCTGCTGCGGTCTTGCTGTCTCTGGTTTGTGTTCAGTTTATTGTAACGCCTGAAACGGCTTCTATCCTTTCTAAAAACCCACTTGGATTTTACAAAGCAGCCTTCGGCATGAATTTTTTTTTTTTAATCATTTGGTTAGGGGCTCATACAACTCTCATCACAATCCATACATATATCAATTGTATAAAGCTCATTTGTACATTCACTGCCCTCATCATTCTTAAAACATTTGCTCTCCACTTAAGCCCCCAGCATCAGGTCCTCATTTTCCCCTCCCTCCCCGCTCCCCCCTTCCTCATGAACCCTTGATAATTTATAAATTATTATTGTGTCCTATCTTACACTGTCCGACGTCTCCCTTCACCCACTTTTATGTTGTCTGTCCCCCAGGTAGGAGGTCACATGTAGATCCTTGAAATCAGTTCCCCTCTTTCCAACCCACTCTCCCTCCACCCTCCCAGTATTGCCACTCACACCACTGGTCCTGAAGGTATCATCCGCCCTGGATTCCCTGTTTCCAGTTCCTATCTGTACCAGTGTACATCCTCTGGTCTAGCCAGATTTGTAAGGTAGACTTAGGATCATGATAGTGGTGGGGGAGGAAGCATTTAGGAACTAGAGGAAAATTGTATGTTTCATCATTGCTACCCTGCACCCTGACTGGTTCCTCTCCTTCCCGAGACCCTTCTGTAAAGGGATGTACAGTTGCCTAGAGATGGGCTTTGGGTCCCCACTCTGCACTCCCACTCATTCACAATGATATGATTTTTTGTTCTGATGATACCTGATACCTGATCCATTCGACACCTCGTGATCACTCAAGCCTTTAAGACCCCAGGCGCTATATCTTTTGATAGCCGGGCACCATCAGCTCTCTTCACCACATTTGCTTATTCAGTGTGAATTCTTGTGCAAAGCTAAGGACTGAGGTATTTCTCACCCAAGAAATTAACGATACCAGGCTTCTTTGATTACCAAAGCTTATTCGTGGTTTTGAAATGAACCAAGCATAAGACCTCTTTATTTTTCAAGATTGCTTTGGGTGTTTATTCCCTGGCAATTCCATATGAACTTGATTAGTTTTTCCATTTCTTCAAAGAGGCTGTTGGAATTATGATGAGAATCGCATTGATTATAGTTCATTTTGGGTAGTATTGAATAATGTCTTTCAGTCCATGAAAAAAATTTTAGTGTGGTAAAGTGAATTTACTTGCTTTGGCTCTTTGATCCTTAGTCATTATAATTCCCACCAAATAAGTGGGTGGGAGTATGCAAATAAGGTGGTTGGGACTCTTGTGAGGATTGGTCAGTTTTGCCGTTCCTGCAGTCCTGAAAGGAGTCATCTCTGAAGCAGGAAATGAAAACTCATGACCACCAGGAAAGAAGACTCATAAATGGAGCACGTTGGAGATCCCCCCACGAAAAAGAGGTGATAGCCAAAAAAGCCTGCAGCGGAGTGGTTGCTGTCCTGTAGTGTTCTGTAGTGTTAGAGCTGCTTTTTAACCCTTGCCTAACTAAGCAGGGCTGAGGCCTTGGGGCTGTGTGGCCTAGAGGCTGAGCACCAGAAAGAGACTTGTCTGCTGGGCAGGGTTGAGGGGGGAAGCACTACTGACTGAGGAACAGAATCTTTAGCATTTTGCTCCCATAATAGTATTGCCTGAGAGTTCTTTAAGGTCATTGCCATGGACTAGTGAACCCAAGAGAGAAGTAAATTGCTGTGATGGGAAGGCTGCTGTCAGAATAGGATAAGGAAGTGTGGAGGCATGGCTGATACCTGCATAACCGGAATCTTCCTTGGACAAATGTGAATTTAGATTCTGCTTCCCTCTTGTGTAATTAGAGGAAATTAGATTTGTCATCCATACTGTTTCCTCATGTAGACTTTCTGTACTGTCTTTTAGCAATATGTTCTATTTTTCTGTATGCAACTCTTTCATATTCCGGGTTAAACTTATTCCTCGGTAGTTTATTGTCCACCCCCCCACCCCCACCCCCACACACCAAATATGTTTGAATGAACTTGTTTGTTCCTGAAGATTCCACATCCACTTCAATTTTACTTTCCCTCCTTTATTAGCTATTCAGACCCAGTAACTTATTTTTTCTTCTACAGTGTAGACATTTTCAAGTGTGTTTCTGCCTCATATTAGGGCCCTTAAGTCTGTCCTTGTTTTTCGGTTGATGGTCTTCATGGTTCTGTGGTTTATATTTGGGTCTTTGATCCATCTTGAGTTCATTTTTGTACATGGTGTGAAATATGGGTCTTGTTTTATTCTTTTGCAGGTGAACATCCAGTTTTTTGAGCACTGTTTATTGAAAAGGCCATTTTAGTCCTTTATAATAAATTGGATGTTTGTAGGAACTTGGTTGTGTTTCTGGGTTTTGAATTATAGTACATTGGCCTTCACATCTGTTGTTGTACCAGTACCAGGCTGTCTTGATTACTGTGGCTATCGCATAGCGTTTTAAGTCTGTGAGTGAAAGGGCTTCTACCCTGGTTTTATTTAATAGTGTGTTATTTATCCTGAGTTTCTGCTCCATGATTAGTTTTTCCATTTCTTTGAAAAATTGAGGTGGGATTTGGGAATTGCATTGAATTTATAGTGTTTTTGGTAACATTGATATTTTCACAATGCTTTTAGTCTACCTAACCAGGAATATGATAACACGTTCCATTTATCTAAGTTTCATCTGGTTTCTTGCAGGAGTGTTTTGTAGTTCTCCTTTTCCATAGTAAGATTAGTTCCTAAATAGTTTATCTTTTGTGTAGTTAATATAACTACATTATTCTTTTAATATACTCATATTTTTTCA